TGATTACTGAGTACGAGTTCAAGTGTAAACATCTAACTGACATATGGAAACAGGATAGCACTCGTGTCCTCTATCCCGCTATTATTTATTGATTGAAAATGTTTATCTTTCTGAGCATACAACAAATTAACTTTTTGGTGATATTACATTCTTTACTACTTTTTAAAAAACGATATTAGATTCCATGCTAGTCTATATTAATTAAACACTTTACCATCCAAACCCATTAGAATTTATTTGACACTTTGAAAGTGTATAATACTGGAGTATTTGTAAAATAATCTCTCATTAAAATTGCTTTTATGTGATCACAAGAAAAAGGATTACTTCGTATATTATACATGCCAAAAAATGAATGTGTTTTGTTCCATGATTATCACGTGACTAGATTTTTAGTTTTTACTGATGATTGTGAAACAATGTAATAGAAATCCTACACATATATAACTTATGGCATCCTATTGTGAATATCACCTATTGTCAGTTACAAATTAACCTTCATTAACTTTCATTGAATCTTTACATAAGCGTTGGTTCGAACCATCAGTGGTAAATGAGTTCTTTATAGTCACCAACTACACTTTAAAGACAAGTTGAGCAATGGTAAATCCCTGTCTAAAGACCTTTTTTAAAACATTTCAAATCAAATAATAAGTTTATGTGTTTCAAATTATTTGCCATGAGTACATCCCTGATCAACTTTTAGTCATTTCTATATTCCGGATTCTATATAACCTAATATGTATTTATATGTAACCTCACGACTGTTTTTATGCACTTTAGAATTATCTGAAACTACAACAAAGCAATGGTTCAATCCTAATTGATTTATAACAGTTGACTAGTTTATGTAAAACCATGGTGAAAAATTGTCTCTGAATAAAACTCATCTGTAGAAATCATGAAAATATTTTCCGGGAATCTTTTTGATATAAATTCACAAGGACAGTTACTCTTCCCATTTCCATTTTAGTCAGTAGCTACGAAATGTGCTCACCACAATGGACACTTGAAAAGTGCATAGGTATTACACGTTCTACAAAACGATTTAAATGAAATGTAGTATTTGCTTGTAATTATCAGTTTTATTTCAATAAAAAAAATTCTTTGGATTTAATAGAGCAAACGACAATTGAACTCACCAATTATTTTTAATAATTAACTCGGGAATTACATAAGTAATGCTATACTCACTTCCATTGTAAGTGGTCGCTGGTCAGTTTATTTTACCCGCAACTTTCCATAACATTCAAAACAATTGTTGGCAACATCACTCACTTCGCCAGAGTTTGACTTACATATATTTTTATATGACTAGACTAGAGTAAGCAATAGAATCAGTTTCTTATATTAGGAATTTCCAGTGTTAGAAATAAAGTCACCATAACAAGCCATAGATTCCTACGATTGCTAACAACACATCTGAATAACGCTTGAATATTGTTCCTAGCTGTGGCAATTAATTAAAATCTTTTGAGTAGGACAAGTGTTTTTTAGACGAAACTTTGATTACTATTAACATGTAAAAAATGAATTTTTAAAGTCTACAGTTACATTTACCTTTGCCTGTCGAACATTAGGAATAATGAATATGAAAATTATTTAAAATTTACTTCATTCCGAATAGTTTGACTTATTTATTTAGTTAAGTTTTATGCAGTTTTTCACATCAGGGAAATTCTACTTTGTGAGGTGATTGTTTGAAGCAGCTGATAAGAAATTTTGGACCTAGGTTCTATGCTATTTGATATACATCAGTAATAATGAATCCGCCACAAAGCATCAGTTTTTCAAGACTACATCTACACCTTGGTGTTTGGCGACAAACAGCACTAAATCTAGGTTCAGGGATCACAGTTGAGTGCCTTCAATCACAACCTTACATCTCAGCATAGTGAACACGATGTCAAGTCACTCAGATTAGCAACCACATTGAAACTTGATCTGTAGAATTCGACTAGGGTTAGGAATGTTTTGATATACATGACATTAATCGCTACTCATTGATCAAGCAACTGTAAATTCTACTTTAAATGGTCAATCAATTATCTTGCAGCCAGTGTTTAACACTAACAAATATGTATGATTATTATTGAGGTAGATTGATAATGAAACCTAAGGCATATATTTCTTTCTATTTAGCAATCAGTAATTAAATGTGGTTAGATCTCAATCCCGTTTTAAATAACTACACGCAGTGCAAAACATCAATTTAACAAGTCCTAAATAAAACCTAATATACCCCCCTTAGAACATATTGAAAGTGAACAAGATTGATAAAAAGCCCATTAGTAATACTGACTTAAATGGTTAATATTATTGGCTATTTTAACTCGAAAAAGCTTTATGAACGAACAAATACAGGCTAATGAAGGGCAATACATTGAAATGAAATAATTTTACAGTACCCCCAATTTTCTATAAGTTTCTTATTAAAATCAGTCCATGATACAAGTAACATAATTTCGTCATGTAAAAAGGCCCTCAAACAGATGAGAGATAAATGATCCATTCATATAGATAATCATTGATATTAGATAACTATATCAAACTTATCGATCATTACTAGCAGTCCAAAACAGTATTATTCCCTCATTTACAAAAATGTAAATATTTATTCAGTAAAATTTATGTAAGCAAAACGAACGATGCCTACAAACATTTATCTATTTGATTTATCTTTTAAGTTTATGATGGCTGTGTAACTGCATACTTTGTGATCAGTTTTTAGCTAAACTTGTGTGAAAACTATACGCAAAATAATCGAATGATCTGGTAGGCGATTAATTTGCAACTTGTTATTTAAAGAATGAATGCTTTATAATATCATGTTTTAGTTTAAATTAATGTTTTATAGTTGTATTTACCGGCATTATTGAACAGAATTTCTCTTGAGAGTATAAAAAATAACTATTTTTTTTAGTTTGGGCATAGTCTAGTTAGGGTAAGTAAAAGTATAGTCGGATAGTTGAATAAGATTAATAAGTCATATTTTTTTTACCTTGAAAAGAAAAATGGACTAAATTTCCCCATTACATAATTGACCTACAGTCTCAATTATTAAATGAAGGCAAATATTTTTCCAAAATAAAATTTTCACCATCTTACTATTGCAAGTTAATGCATCAGTTTAAGAAGCACGCTATAAATATAGAGTAAAATTTATATACATCTCATGAGAAGAATTCAATAATGACGTCACTGATACTACTTTTTAATAATTTACGATTGTTTAAGCATTTTTATGTATTCAAAGTTGTTTCCAAGTTAACTGAGTAAAAGTTTAATATTTTATAATAACAATGGTAAAAAGAAACTTCAATCACCACCCTTCGAAATTTGTCTGTAAATGTAAATGGTGGAACAAAACATAAAGTTATTATATATTGTCACTACTGATCATTTAGATATTTTTGGTTATTTCTTATCTCTACATATAGTCCATTAGTAGGCAACGATGGGAATCTAAAAAATAACTGTAAAACAGTTAGTTAAATACTTAACATTATTAAATAAGTGACACCACAGTAAAACACATTATTTCAGTTAAGAAACACCTGAAATTTATATTAAATTACAACTTATTTAGATACGTACTGTTTTCTGATATAAAAATAAGTACTGGAAAATGGAGATTTAATAATTAGTTATTCTAAACAGAACCCGCTGATTTATAAAATATTAGCCGAGTTGCCAAACTTTAGCATGTTTAAAGCTGGCTATCAAATAATTTCTTTTTGTTTCTTGGCAATTTGTTTGTTTTCTTATTGATAATTCTCATATTAACGTCATAATAACTCTCCGAATTAATAATCTTATAAGACAGAACACATTGAAGCAACTTATTATCTAGCATTGATCCAATGGATAGATGTAAAGTTTCGTTGATCACTTTATGAACTTTACTCTTATCCTTAGCTAATTGCCTGATGGGTAGATTTCAGAAGTAATACATCTGAATAATCTGTACATAAATGAGAGCTTTAAATCCCTAATATTTAATCAATGATTTTTTATTCTGACACTATTTTTTTTAAGAATAAGCAGATCAGCCACGTTAGCAAACAACTAGTTTGGCTAACATAATAACTCCAGAGTTTATATGAGCTACTTGTTCCTGTAAAATAGGTCTCTTATTCCATGATCAGTCTATCAACCAACACTTTCATCATATATTAATAAGCCTAAATGCATGAGTAATGCTCTATAAAGTATAATCTCTGCTTCACGAGTCCAAGTTAATCTGCTTGTAACGGCACATTTTATGTAACGAAGTAGACACCGCTCTACTATTCCAAATCAAAATAAATGAAGTGAGATTCAAAACCTAAACATTGTTATTTCTGCACAGTGCACCCAATTGATACTTCTATCTTACTGATAAATTAATGAAGTATACCACTGAATGATTTCAATAATTTACCATTAGTAATTTCAATTTAACTATATGAAGACAGCCCTGTTTATAAATGAAAAGAGTTCATTGGTACTATATTAAAATAACTAAATATCTTCAAGTAAGAACAAATAACCAGATCAATAATTGATATTGGAAAAGTATGAAATAATTTTAAAGCTTTTTAGTCTTAGTTGATAGTTTTATAATAAACACTTTTATATAACAATAATTCAGTGCTATGAATTTCCATATATATGACAATACATATTAGTTTTATAACCCATATCAACAAATTAAGCGTGATGGACTTGTTTGTTATTGTTTAATCATACATTTTATCTTGGATTATGTTTCAATTTTTAGGGAAAAATGATTGTATACCTTGGACATCACACACATTACAAGTAATATTATATCCATTTAAGACGAAAATGTCTACGTAAAGCATAATTTAGTCCACATTGAAACTTTCGTAACAATTATGCATATAATGTTGTATGTATCATCATCTCAATACGAAATTCTTAAAACAAGTTTTAAATACATTAAAACAGTGAAATAAAAATTGTTTTTATACTTATTTTGATTACATAAATTTTAGGCTACACGTTTAAATCGTGTTGAACAAATAAATTTATTATTAATGTATGGAGCTGATGTAAATGCACGATGTAAACGTCCAAAAGAAATGATCAAAAACAACTTAACTCTTTCTATACGTCCACAGTCAGTTGATGGTGATACACCATTACATGTTGCAGCAAATCATAATCAGCGTGCAGCTGTTTTACGTCTGTTATCTTGGGGAGCTGATCCAACCCTACTCAATGCTGAAAATATGACGCCTATACAAGTAGCACAGAATAGTGGAAATTTAGAATTAGCTGATTTAATTAAATTATTTAGAGGTAGAAAAGAATCTAGTAAGTTTGTATAATGATTGACTATTAATTCTGGAATAAAATGATATTACAGTTTGAATTAATTGATTTGATGGTTACGCCTTATGTTTTTAGTGGCTTAACAATCTGTTGGGTTAAACGTTAGCTTCTAAAGTAAAGCAACAGGTTGTTGATATAGAATGTAGGTTTCATAAAACATAGATTTTACATGTATTTATCGTACACTTTTCAGTACATCACAACCAATTATTCTTTAGAAATTAAAATGATCTTAAATCCTTTTATGTCTACGCATTACGAACCATCACTTAGCTTGAAGAAACCATATACTGGCTTTGTTTCATTTAACTTCGTATTTATGAATGGTGTTATCAAGTTCAGCTTTACTCTGTAAAAAACTCAAAAAATCAAAACTCAAGCGTGGGTTGCATCTAACTATGAACACTAGTAGGACAGACGTCTGTTAAATTTTACTTTAATTCTTTTATTTAGATGCTATCAATACTTAAATTATTGCTGTGGTTTCGTTGATATAGTATTTTTTGCGGCTCATTGAACAAATGCTGTTAACAGGCGAAATTCTAGTATCAAGGGCTCAGTATCGGCAACAATTTTAAACGAGGTCATATTTTCAACTTTTCACAGTATTGAAGAGATATTGCATTTTGCTTGATCATCGAAAATATACACAGGGCTGAATTTTCACAGTGAGCATGGAGAGTCTTATCTGAAATCTGAATAAACAGTTGCACATCTCCATATTTTTAAGTGCAAATTTGAAAAAACTTCTACGAAAATCTACTACTATCATGTAATAATAACCTTTTAAGTAAAAGTCATATTGAGTAGTTAACCTTGTTTTTAATTCGGAATACAACCCACGACTAAGTGTGAAGTATTTAAACTAAAAATTATGAATAAAAGAACTCATTAATTTACTGATGGCTATTACGCTAATTATTTCCCAAAAAGAAAATAATCGCTTTATAATTAAAATTGTTAAATTCAAAATTTATAAATGCAACTGAGCACCGGTGCTTCGCATAACTACTATTTTTGCAATTTTCGCTTGAGCATTTCATTTAGTGATATAAACGGTTGCAGTTATCACACGAAGTTACCATATGAACCTATTGAATGGATACCTCGATGAAGACTTACTCTTTCTGATGCTTCAAACAATAAGTAGTTCGTATAAGTCTAGATGAGAACATTACCATTGTACTTCAAATACATTCACGTTTTCCGTTCCATAGAACATGATTATTTACTTAAAAATATATTTGTTGATATGTTTACTTAAGCTTAATATTGATGAAACAAAATGTTTAATTCTTTATTATGTCTATAGTAGAGTAGAAATAAATTAAACGTCACTTAAAGCATGATTATGTTTATTTACTTCTATTTGTTCAGGTGATATATTTCTTCCAACACCCACGTATAATCCCCATAGACGTGTAAGACAAGCCCCACCTAATTCTTACATTACTGAACCATCCATTTTGCAAACGTATACTCCAAATGATATAAATGAAAGTCACCTAAATTATCAGCAATTAAATAGTACTAACAACAATAATAATTACTTATTAAAAGACTCAAACAAAGATTTAGCTGATCTTAATATCACTGAAAAAAGTGCTACGTGTACATGTTCATATATGACAACATCATCAAATAGACCAATCGATTCCAAACCAATACAACGTGCAGTTTCGCTATGTGAATTAATTCAATCAAATCCATCTGATATAGCGACAGGATCAACAACAAAATGGAATGGTGCATGGGATTTAGGTCCAAACGGATTTTATAGTCCATGTTATGATGTGAATGCTGTATCAAATCAAATATATTGTGAAATGCCTAAATATGAGAATGGTACGAATATAGCTGGAACATTAACACGGCCAGTGAAATTAAAGCAAAAATCTAAAGGTAAATAAATATTATACATAGAGGTTACTGATATATATGAGATGCTGATTCATTATGTTGCTAAACAGAAATGTCATTTTTATTGATTGATATTTCGTTAAAATAAACACATACAGAAAGAGTAAATGCAATCTAAACTACACTAGAAATGCATAATGATCACATTATTTCACAGATGAATCCACCATAGTGTCATTCAGGGTCGAACAGTCATCAAAAATCGTGATCTGACTAAAAGCTGAGTTGTTATTTTATTAATGAATTTCTTAACATTAAGTATTTATCGGTTGTTTTCATTGGATTGATAAGAACAAGTTTGAAATGAAATTAAAGGATATTTTAAGTATTTCTATAAATCTTTAAGCCTTATAACAGGTAATAGATCTTCAAAATTAGAAGAGAATGAATTAAAATAAATACTTAGTTCACTTATTGTAAAATGAGACGTTATGACGTATGTAACTACTGTTTATGTTCTTAACCCAACATGGGAATAATAAGTGTAACACTAAGAAACAAGCACTGTAGCATACATTGACTAATAGTTGACTCAATTCCTTACAGTTCTATGTTTAATTAATAGTGTTGAGAGATGCTCAGTTCAACATAACAATAAATTGCTATCAGAACATATCAATAGTCACACCTCTGATTTCTGAAGAACTACACATTCACAAGCATTAGATATTCAAGATTTGGTCAACATTGCTGAATAATTGTTGAGAAATATCCAGTTCTCTAGTAAAGTAAAACAGTCTTTGCTTTTATAACACACTGAAAAAGCCTGTATATATAAGATCACAAGTTACATTTAACTAATTACCATGAGTGAAATGTTTTGATATGAAGCTGGTGAAAAGAAACGAAACCTACTCTACTTAACATTTTCTTAATCAGTCAGTCAATCAGCTGCAACGTAGGACCAGGCACGTATATGCATCGGTCCAAGTTGCCATACCGCATTAGCACAACAAGATGAACACCGGATTCATAGGAGTAGTTAATTCAGTGGTGGTAATATATAGAAGAAAGATTGTGTATAAGGAGATAGTAAAGGAAGAAAGAATTAGTTCCTAGACAGATATAAAGCGATTTTAATCTGTCTTCTTAATAAATAGACAGTAATAAACTTCACTCATCAGTACCATAAACTTTGATAAAAAGATGTTTTAACAGTCAAACAATTACTGAATGAATTCAGTCTCCCGAGATTGTGACAATCTGTTTTCTGTTTAATGAGAACATCGGAATTTTGAATAACCTCAAAATAATTAGATCTGTGTTTTAACTGACTGCATAGAAGAAATATGAAGTTTCAACTATAAGACATTTTAGTTTAGCTATGTGACCTATTTTATAGGAATCAAAAACACTGAAATATTTACTTTGTGTACGTTCTACTGTGTAGGGAAGGATATCAGGTTTGAATATAAGAAAATATTTGATTTCCAGTCCTTTATTTGTTAGAGAACATATTAATTGAATGCAGTTCACAGTCGTTTAAATTATCATCCACTCTGTGTTTGATAAGGATTTGGTCTAAATTTTCAAATCATAAAATTTAGGTTGATTTCTATGGTAACATTTCAAATGCATTACATAAACTTTTTTGATACTAAACGCCTGAAAAAGTTTTGAAGAAATCTAATCATGCCTATATAGAAATGTTTGACAGTGAATTACAACCGTAAAATAATGTATTATCGTTTTAGTGTTTCACATAAATCGACGAATTCGAAAATAGCTCAAGTGTATTTTCGGTTACTTTTGCGTCATCGTAAAATGCCTAAAAACTATTGCTGATTTAAGAAAGTTGTTCAAATAACTAAACCACTTTTCATATTTGTTATATCAAAAAAACAGTTCAGATTTAATTACTCAGCACCACGAAACAGACGGTGATATCATATTTTAAATGATACGAACTATTTATTCATTAAAATATAATGCGCTTAACAAGTACTGAATTCAACTGAGATGTACGTCTTTTACAACTGCTGAATTACATTACGATAATTGTAGATTGATGAATTCATGAGAGCTAGAGATTTGATGAAAATCAGACAGCAATGAAAAGCGCCTCCATTTTAAGTAAGAACTTTTCACGGAATACAAGTTATTCAAGTCTTAAATTTGATTCAACCTAAGTCAGTTTACAATTTGTCTTGAGTATTATTTATCGTCCTACTTATTTGAAACAACTGTTCATTTCTTTCGAGTTCTCACTACTTTACAAATATTACTGCTTTCCAATAAAATTTAGTTTCACAGTAATTGTAAAAAGTATCATACGGTTCAATGGTCAAAAGTTTAAGCTTTTGCGCGATCGACTGAAGGTCCTGGATGATCACAGTTGAAAAGTTCTATACTACGGTGAAATGACCGTGCAGTGCTTCCAGGTTTTCCATGATGGTATAGCTTTAATCGACCCATGAATTCAACTATTATGTTACTACAATCTCCACAAAACCCCCTTTCTGATATATATATATATATATATATATATATATATATATATATAACAGTATATTGTAAAAACATTTTGACTGATTTGTGTCTGCCAGTACCTTGAACTCTACTATGTCTAATTAGTAATATTTTTTTACAAAATATTGTGTAATAAACTCTGTAGATTTACTTTTTTTTCTAGAAAACTCTAACAAAATTCCTATTAAAAATTTTATAAAATCATACAATAAATGTAACTAACAATGTTCACTTGACGTTGTTAATTAGTTATCAGAAAGAAGTCTCACACTAACATGCACACACAGGCATATTCGAAATCAGATACAAACAGTTTACGAAAGAAAACAGCTCTTTGATCTGTTCATTGTAACGTTGCTCAATTCTTTCTGCTTACATTTTCTAAAATTATCTGATTAATCTTCTTTATTACACAGTTCGTGAAATAACTATTTCATGGTTATCTCAGGTGACCACAATGATAATTGCGATGATGTTTGTTACAACATCATAAAATATGAACAACATTGTGACGTATGCAACTACTGGTTATGTTCTTAACCCAACATGGGAATAATAAGTGTAATACTAAGAAACGAACATTGTAGCATACAATGACTAATAGTTGACTCAACTCCTTACAGTTCTATGTTTTAATAATAGTGTTGACAGACGGTCAGTTTAACATAATAAATTATTGTCACAATAGATCATTAGTCACACCTCAGACATACATAGCTAGTTACATAAAGATACGACAAAACCTTGATGAATGTTAATATTTATGAAATATCAGTCTATTTGATTTTTTACTCCAATTCATTTTTAACATAACATCGAATCGAATCAATAATCAAATTGTCACTGTCTAGTCCATATTTATTATAGTGCACTTTGCTTGTTCAGTCTTAATTACATAATACAAAGAAATGTCAACCATAATACTGGACATTACTTCTCATACTTGGCTAACTTGTCACAGAATTGAATAATATATTGGTCTTTTTTTCTGATAAATTATTTTTGTGTATTTAGAGTTTAATTCCAATGAAGTATAAAGTAAATATTTGTTTAAACGCTGGTCAGCAATAACTTGTTATGCATGATAAAATAAATCTCTTTATTGTTAACTTGTTAACAGGATAAATTACCCAGCTGACGTAGCATGATATTCAATAATAATAATATTAATAATAATAATAATAGTAAATCAGATAGCATTACTGGGAATCAGTGATCGCTTTGCAATATATGATGTTCGTGATGTAAACCATCGCCGTTATACTGCTCTGTACTTTCCTCAGCTGATGATATGAATATCCACGATTAGACAATATAACAGTACATTTGAATATTCGCCTAAGGAATCAAAAGTAAGATGTAACACGTATTTCCTGCTTCTCAGGTAATCTTATTCAATAACTAAAGTTAACTTCCGATTTCATTTCAAAGAAAAGATCAGCACTGATAATATTGACGATGATAACAATAAAGACTTTGCTAGTAGACCATTCAGTTCAGAGAGTATAAATATCATAAAGATCCAGCTAAGTAGGACGCAAATTATTTTTTATTGGTTCAAAAATAAAAATAGAACTATATAAAATTATCCCATTTTTGTAACTTACTATAAATGAAAAGATCGTATTAGTTCTTAGTACTATATCCTTACTAGATTCATATTATTAGATCATAAATGCAGTTTCTTGATGAGTTTTAGACTGGTATCAATGCTTAATAACCTAGCATTACAGTCAAAAGATTTGGTTTCTTCATCATAAAATATTCTTGATCACTTTTAAATAATACTGAATAGATTATGTTTCAAATAAACAACAGATTGTTTGTTTAATACATTTTTAGTTGAAAGTTTTTTTCTTCAAATCTAACCATTATATTAGAAATAAAGTCGATTTTATTGATTATATGTAAAATAAATCACGAAAATAATTTATTTCATTACCGGTGAACACTTTGACTGGAAATAGTTATAATAATAGAATGACAGAACGAACATAATTTTCTTAATGACAATCACTTGTATCATCTAATTATTGTTTACGTCGACAATAATATCTACATTTGTTCAAACGTGCAATTGACTATCATCTTGAAAAGTAGCTACAAAAATTATGTTCAATTGTGTCGTAATATTCATAAGAATATGAACATCATATAAAGTAACAGCCTCGATGTATTTTGAAACTGATTTATCCTTTTATCATTAATTTTTTAAATATTTAAATCTGATTTATTAAATCTAACTGTAAACAATTTCTGTTTTATTTATTATTGTGAATTATGTCTTGGAATTTATTCTCTTGTTTAACCCCAACTAATCGATGAATTAAAATCATTTATTTGAGAACATGATCCGCTAAGAATATAATTTGAAGAAAATCACATTTTCTATTGTGAATTATACGTTCTGTGTATAACTTTGTAATTAATTTCAGTGAATAGAATTTTCTGAAAGGTCTGAAATCAAAATGAATCAAGAATTCCAAAGTAGATTATTATTATTATTAATTCACTTGATATTGTTTTACTTGAATCTTCCCATTGATGTTTAGGACTGCTATTGATCAGTCTCTCATATTGGCATATGTGCATACTGCGCGTATTGCCTCGATATTGTCTTAATTTCCAAGCATTCTAAGCAAAGATGGATAGTGGCTAGTAGTGAAATCCAGGACGCGCGTTTCGTCCTATTTGGGACTCGTCAGCTGGATGTACCTGCATCTCAGAGTTGATGGTCACTCTGGGACTCGAACTCAGTACCGTCCGCTTCAAACGCCATCACGTTATCCACTTAGCTACTGAGTCCTGAACATCAACTCTGAGATGCAGGTACATCCAGTTGACGAGTCCCAAATAGGACGAAACGCGCGTCCTGGATTCCACTGCTAGCCACTATCCATCTTTGCTTATTATTATCATTATTATTATTTTACTGGATTTGCATAGCCTCTTATATTTCTATGTGTATTAATATATATTATCTACCTAAAACTTCCAAATCTTATTTGAAGTGTATAATGATTATCTTAATAATAAAAGTGTAATGTATTTAATATGAAAATTAAGCGATTATTTATCAGACAGAATACCTATTACTGACTGGTCACCAAATATTCACAAATCAAGACATTTTCAATCCAAAATTGGTTTATTTATTTTTTTTGTTTGTATTTTTTTAAAAACCGACGTGTGTCTAAATTCAAGTGAACTTTATATTATGTAGCTTATTATACAATTATTCTAGGTCGAAAAAAAAGGATTTCTTTTTCTTAGCATAACATTAATGCTTTGTCATTAGTTTATTCATTCTTTAACCTATCTGTTGTATATACTTAGTAGATTGCTATCAAGGTCTAGTAATATCTTTTAAAGTTGAACATGTTTTCAGAGTTTTTGGATTTGAATTTATTTAATTGATAATATTCAATAAAATGCAATTGTAACACGTAATAGACCCACTAACTTTAAATGAATAAATTATCACCAATACAAACTTTGAAAAAATCTACTGTTATGTTTATTCAATCACGTTTGTATAGGACATGGTGTTTATTTTAAATACTATTACTTTAAAAGGTATGATTTAAATCAAGTTGTTCTTAACCAGTAAGAGAATTCAATAAGTTTAACTGTGTTATGTACTGAAGTTTGATTATGAAATATCATCCTGGATATAAAGAAATTTTTGATAATATTTAGGTAAAAACTAATGAAATATAAAAAATGACAAGGCATCTATGTTTTATCACAGATTGCAACACTTATGATACATACGAACTAATGATAGGTGTTACAGTCAACCCATAATTTGCATATTTTAACGAGAGGAAAGCATGAATTCGTAACTCTGGACTATGTTTCACCAAGCTAGCATTTACATCAACAATAAGTTGGTATATGATGACAGTTTCAAATCTTCTTTTAAAAAAATTTCAGCTTCAGATTATTTAACAACAGTTTTTAATATTATGTACTTAACATGAACTGTTGGATTCTTAATTTGAATCCTAAGAAATATTTTACATTTCCCCCCCCCCCACTACATTTCTTCACTTTTTTAACATTTGAAAAACCACCCACTTGTTATTGGTTTGATTCATTGTGCTCATTTTGTTTCATGACCATCTCGGTAGATTATAATTTTGGTAACATCGGGATATTTCATAAGTGTTTGGTACCTATATAACCGTTCTCACCATAAATGAAATAATCCGAATCAAAAACGTTTTAAACATCAAATTAATAAATTAACCATTTTTGAGCGTCCTCTCTCAAAAAGATTACATCTTGTGCAAACATGTAGGCCAGTTAATTAACCGCAATCTATATATTAAATTTCTATAAACATATTAAAAAGCGAAATCGAGCCAGATAAATGTAATTGAAGTAGAAGCAAACAAGAATTAATAGGTGGAAAACATAAATATATAATCAGTGGTTAACAGTGTGTACTTTAAAAAATCAACTTGAATGAGGTAATTTACCTCATTGTTGTTTTAGCTGCTCTAACATCTTGATAATATGTCTACTGTCAAGTGAATGAGATATAATAAACTCTTCCTCATTCAGTTCATGCATAAACTGAGGTCTTAGGTTTGCTGAATAGTGATGAAATAATTCTTCTTACAGTGTTTACCAAATATGTTCCGTCAAGAAAACGTATCGAAATAAATGGTATGCAATAAAAATCCTAAGAAATCGTTGTATACAGCAGATTGATCTCTGAGTAGTGACCAAGAATAAGCTTTTACTGCCGGTTGAATTCCATTGACAAAGCAGTAATGTAACCATTAATCTGAGTGATTGCGCATTAAGTGCACTGCGTAGAGATGTTAGGTAGTTAGAGTTAGTCTACGCAAAATTCCAAACCTAAGTTTAATTCTAGTTGGAACTCACTAGAAATAAATATCTGCAATCGTCTGAAAATTGGTGCTTCTCATGGAAATTGCACCTGTATTATTTTTCTTCACAATCTCAAACATTACCATGAAACTATTCTGACCACTTAATTTATATTCAATTGATTACCATAAAACAGTGAAAGCATTTTCATTCAGTCTAAATTTCTAATTTCTACTTCGAGTCACAGTTAGCTTTCAGACGTTCTATGTAAAGCTTTAGACGTTCTTGTATAATTTGATAATCTTGTCAAAATAGATTCAAAATATGTTTGTTTGTAAGTGTAGAAAAGAAAAATGTCCCATAAAAAAGTTATTTTCAGGAAAAGTTCTTCGAGATATTTAAAGAATTTCATGGGATTTCTAACCTTAGACCTGAGATGCTCCTTAAACTGAATCAAATTTAAATGGAACCGACTATTTAGAATGAACATTAATGATGCATCTCACCATCAGAAGTACTCTGATAGATATAATGAAGAGCTCAATGAACTTATTTCATTTAAAACATGTCTCGAAATGCCGTAAGAGGTAATAGATGTTTTAGAAATTTATGTAAATAAGCAAATCCCAAGTTTGAAACTGAATCGTATAATACTTAAATAATAATATTTATTATATAGGTTTTTAATGTAATCACAATAACCGTGTACTGTTTGCTTTTGTCGATCCATTGACATTTTAATGAAAACCATTTTATTAAATTTAAAATGACTTATCTGCGCATGCAATATTCAAGAAATGGTTTAAAACTTTATTTTGTATTATGAAATTATTGTTTGATTATAATACGTATTCTTTGCCTCAAAGAGTCGGTCTAGAAGTATCATGAATGTTGAGTTGCTAAGTCAACTATACACCTTGAAACAGTTCAAACTGTATTAATACAGTTATAAAGACACACTTGAATTCAGTCACTGTCTATATCTAATTAGGTTAAACTTGTATTAAATGACATTCATTGTCTGATTTATTCCTATTGTGCACTATTCATCAGACTAGACGTAAAGTTATTTGTTCTAACAGTTTTACTCCCTATATTGTCATTTTTGTCCCCTTGACTAATGTTCACTGACGTGTAGAGGTGAACATTATACAAAATATCTACATTGAGTTGCAAGAACCTAAACAAGTGCAAATAATGTATCTCTTTTGACCAAGTTATTGATAAATACATATTGGACATAAAAAACCTAACAAATTACATTCTCTTCAAGCAACATGCAACATTATTAATGTTCTATTTATTTATATAAGTATTATTAACTACAATCTCGTCTATATGCAAATTATTTGCACTGATTAACTACTCAGTTTTACGTGAGTTACACATGTTCGAGACTGCATCACATTATTTAAACCCAAGTGACAATTAAGTGACCTAACCCTATTTAATAATTCAATGGAACATTAATAGTTATAAGTTATTCAAATACTTATAAGACAGATTGAATAAATTAAAGAATATTTATTTTAATTCTTCTAATATTATCTTATTAATATACGATGCAAATATGTTTTTTTTATATTTTCAAGAGAAAAAAATGAATATTCTGCTTTTGTCAACTTTGTAAACTTATAGATATGTCCGTATCAAAATCTCGAACGGATGTTTTTACATCAAATATTCATTGTCGACAACAACAACAACAACTTCAAAGACAACAGTGCCCCATAATGCTTGAGTCTGCAAATAAAAACCCGTCAAAAGAACGAACAATATCACGTGGTCAACAAACTGATGTTTTATGCGATTTTATCACACATGAAAACAAAGGATTCCAACGTGAAGGCAGTCAAACAGATAGTGGTATAAGTAATTCGTCATGTCGACCGAATACATTTGGTTCTTTGAATCGAAAACATAATAACAACATTCATCATGATCAAAGTGATAAATACCAGGATGGAGTTTTGCCTTCTTATGAAAATTTCGGGTAATTTTTAAAAAATTCCATAAGTATGCGTTTTGTATTATGGCTTTTTTAGCATGTTAATTTACAAATGTTGCATTGCGTAATACTTAGTGTTGATTGAGTCGCCAAAACAATAAATTACACTACATATATGTATAAAAAAATAAGTAGAGGAACTTCGCAAGATGTTTTCAACATGTTTGTACTTTATGAAACTCGTCAGTAGCGCTTACCGAAAACTGAAAAACGTAAAACTTTCATGAAAATCAAACAGATAATACGAAACTTTACGGTCAAAGACACTACTATCATGCTAATCGATCTCCTAGATGCTGTACGATTAATATGTATACACATTAATAAAACTTCTTTCATTCTTTGTTGCCAATTTGACCCAATGATCTTAGAATTCATTTTGATCAATTTCAGCGATCCATAAGAAAGTGTTTCAATAAAACTTCATTTGCTTAACATACATAAAGTATATATGTAATATTTATAATGCAATATAAACAAAAGAATAATTTTAAAAAATGATAAAATAACACTTTTGGCTTGTTATCAACAGCTATTTTACATTGTCTATAAATAATTTCTAATTTCTTTTGTACGTAATCTGGTTCCTTCAAATGTCAATCTTGTCTTTAGAGATTATTTGACTCAAATAAAGTCTAGATGGATATTTTTGTCAAGTGAATTTCGATAAAACATACGCTTACTTCTCAAATTCAAATAAACAATAGTACACTATTGATCATTGTAAACTACTATTATTATTACTATTATTACTACTATGGTGTGTGCTACTGATGTCGACAGATGTAAGTAGCATTTGTCACCAATCGAAAGAAGAATGCCAGTCGTCTTAAAGTTGAGAAGGTCGAAAAGAAGAAGAAGAGAACAGAGAGCAATCAATGTAGAAATGAAGGAACAATAAAGTCTCAAACAGTCGATGGACATTTAGCAAATGAAGTATTTACCCTGAAGAAGTACAGACAAGTTGGCTGGACGAAACGTTGAAATTATTTAAATTTCAATCGCTGAGATTATTTCAAATATAATTTTCATATATTTACTATATGGTTCTGAGATTTTACTAAGAGATTCTATAATTTCGTATTAAATTACATTTAGTTGTCCCCACTGGTATTCTCGTTCAGTACACTAGTACTACTAATATTACTTCTGCAGCATTCTGTTTATTAGTTAAGTTTGTCATTAAGACTTTGGTCTTTTAATATTGTATTCATTGTAAAACAACTTAAAGTTATATATTATTAAAATGTATTATAGAGAAGAGTTTGTACGATCAATAATAATAACAATATCATTCTTGAAGCAAGTTTATTTTTAAACATTCATCTTTTTCCCACAAATTACTCTAAAGACAACTGTATAAACGAATTTTGAGAAGTTATTTTCCTAACAAAGAACAATACTAATAACTGGGTAATTATAATGCAAGACAAAAAAAATTGCATTACTGTTCTCAATTTTGAAAGTTTCTATTAGTACACATCACATAATTATGCAGTGGGTAAATATTTAAGCCATGATATATTTATTAAACTAGATTTCCACTGTTTCTTTACTCATAATAACTGCTTGCAAATAATAACAACTGTCATCTAAAACTTTTTTTTCTAATCTCATCTAAATGTTCAGGCAACTAACTTAAACGATGTTTTCGAGGTTCGCTAAGAAAGAACGTTGTGGTAAATTTTAATTTTGTTTATCAATCTACAGATTACATAGATTGCTTATAAATATGAGAACATTTGGTAAGAGGCAATAACTTCAAAGTCAATAAACTCTAAAGAAGCGTGTAAAAAAACAATGATTCATATTATCACATTAGGATACTTAGATAAATTTGTATAAACATTGGCTATGATCACAGGTGAATACTTGCACTCATGCAAAATATCAAACATCTAATCTTTTTAAAGAAAATATCATGTGATCATATTCACAATAAGTGGAAAAATATCAATAGTTGAGATCATGAGTCAATTGAAAATAGACCACCATGGAAAGCATGGAAACACTGGACGGCCGTTTCATCCTATTGTGGAACGTTTAAGCAGTAAGCATCCACGACCCCGACTTGCGGAATTTGAACCCAGGATCTATCAGTCCCGCACGCGAGCGCTTAATCACTAGACCACTGAGCTGGCGTTCAACGAAACGGTTGTCCAATGCATCTAGGTTCTCCATGGTGGTCTAGCTTCAATTAACTCATAATCTCAACTATTGAAATTACTACAATCTTCATAGAACCCCTTCTGATATAAATGAAAATAAATTATTTAGGGTATTGAAATTTGCTCCCAATATCGAATGAATGAACTACCCTTGAAGCTACCATCAGCATTTCAATCAGTTCATAGTAATTTTCTTTTTCTTTTTTTCATTTTATCATTTCGATGATTTAAATCAGTTAAATATAATAAATAAACTTTACATTTATATATTTAATCTTCATGAAAAACATACTTGATTTATTATTAAATTAATTTGAAATAAACAACAACAAAAAAACTCAGAGGAAACAGACATTTCATTAATTGATTTTCTAGGGAAAAGAAATAAAATTTCATACATTTCTAATTACTGATTTATATTATTTCTAAATGAAACCACAAGAAGAAAATATGTATCCCTTATATATAAACATTTATATTATCTTTTTCAAGACTGGCCTAAATCTCAAATTTTAAATGTCATGGATATTGTTTAATCCAGTTAGCATGTTCATTTAAACATCCTAAACAAAACTAGGTTGTTTCAATTTTATTATTATAAAAAGGAAATATATCGTCTTAAATACTTTGATTTGTTATATTCTTTAATATCAATTGTGTGTTAATCACATGACAATTACCACTACTTTAGTCTGATCCCAAATGTTAATTAAAACTTATCGAGCAAGTGAAGATCATCTATGTAACAAAATAATAACGCCCAGTCAATAAAAATTCAAAGTAATCACAGAAATCAATGTGATTTTAGCGCATAGAATCTTTGTATATTAGAGAAGCCTGGTAGAAACTATGAATGCACTTCCGTTTTCACACTTCAAGACATATGTTTTTCCAACACAAAAACATAAAAATGCTCTGGTGTTCATATAAATTAATGACTCTGTTGGAAATATACTGCTGATCAGTAAAAAAACAGAATAAAATATATTTGTCGCAGTTTAAAATACAAATGTAGCTAGATGACCTTCGAAAACATGGTAACACTGGACAATTATTTCATTGTAATATGGGACTTTTCAGCATTGCACATCCACGATTTCGTATCCGGGAGTCAAAAGCAGGACCTTCATTCTCGAGCTTGGATTGTTAACTTCTAGACTAATGACCCGTCTTTCAACAGTTTAAATGCTTAACTTCAACCAATCCAGGATCTTGTCAAACCTATAGCAAGATGAAAAGGTCGTTTAGTGACATTCTTTGCTTTGTTAAGTTGGTATAGAGGTTTGAATTAGGATCGAACATCATAATAGAAGTGAAGGTGTACAAACTATGCAATTAAACATAAACACGTAATTGTGACAAAGTCAATACATGATGTATCTAATCTTTTATCTTTCATTATTGTTGTTCTTAAAAGGAACATAAACACGGAGCTACTTTCATATTAGGTCATAACATACTAAATGCTTAAATTAGTATTCATTATGGCATCTATAGCCAGGAGTAAAAGTTAATAATTGGATTTTTGTTGCACTATTCCGATACCTATCTCATTAACTAATAATCAACTATATTTTTACAAATATTTTACGCTCTGGTGATACTTTTACATATAGTAAAATATCACCTAATCCAATGAAATCAATCTATGTTATTCCTCTAGAAGTACTGTATTTGATATTCCCTTTTTACTGCTTTAATTGACCAACTTAATAATTGTAACTTTAAATTTCTGATAAACAGTACATTCATTTTATGGTGCCGCTAATTTGACAAGCATTATTTTCTGTATTTAATAAATAACAATAAAATAGTCCTTTGAAATAAAATTAAAACAATTTGATGAATATATTTACAAAGAAGCACATTAATAGTTCATTGTTGAATTGTATTCAATAAAATATGAAGTTAGCAACAACAAAAAAAGAAATTACAACTTACACAGTGTACTATAATATTACTGATACACCTACGCATATAATCTCTACAAAAATAAACAACCGGTTAAAATAGATAATGACAGAGAGCACATATTCTGTGGCAATAATGAAGTGTGTACTAAATTTATGAGTATAATAATCTGAAGAAAAAAAAATCAAAGAAAACTTTATTATTTAATACAAAATAATGTCAATAAATTATTTTGATGGAATGTTACTAACCAGAATGCTTATTATTAGCTAAAAAGAACTATGGCAGATTTCAATCATTTTAGTTGATAAACATTTTGTTAACTTCGTCAATTCCAGATACATGTAGAATATTGTGAAAAGATTGTTGAATTTTAAGGGAAAGTAAATAATTTCACTTTTTATGATTATTACTGTTAGCTTTACTCAATATTATATTTTTTGGTAAAATATAGAATTCTTAGTACAAAGTATTTCAGCGAGTTTCCATTCCTTACTTCTTGATCGATATTGATCATAAATATTGAGTGATCACCAGCTGGATATTAGAATTTCAGAAGTAGACATCTAAATAATATTCAATACACACCGCTAGTCATCATGATATCTCTAATTGTAAATTTTTGTAACTTGTGCAGCGAAATGTCGTAAACATTTCACAAACACACCTGAATAGGTTATTCAATTGATTGATATAATGATCCGTTAAACAAACAAGGATACAGATAACTTGTTGAAATATCTAGATGGCAGGAACAGGTAGTCCAGATATTCAAGCAGGTCTCCCGGGTGTTTGTTTCAAAAATTCTATATGTAGATTTTTATTGAATCCAGTGTTTTCTAATCAATAAGTTAAGTCAACTATAATATTCAAAATGATAACCCAAAACCTATATTATTTATGGTAATAAAAATAACGTTTTCAGGGGAACTCGTTGATGCACACTGCTGAGGAGTCCCACAATAGGGCAAAACGGCTGTCCAGTTCTTCCAGGTTTCCAACGGTGGTCTAACATCGATCGGTTCATGATCACAGTCAGAAACTATTTTATATTTTATTTAGTCTTAAGCATTCTAACTTATTTGCTTCTAAGGTGATTATAGTCTCAAAGAATTACATTGCAATACATTCCAATATATATTTCGAGATAAATTCAATTGATCACCGCTAAAATGTGGTTTCTTACGATAGTTTCCCAATAATTGGTTTTGATCAATCAAAGGATTTATTAAGTTTTCTTTAATTCCAATTCTATACTAGTAATCATAATTCAAGGTTATCATCTACTTAACTAACCCAAGCAAGAATAAACATTCGTCCGTGGTTATACTTTTAATTCTGACTAATGTTGTACATTATATCTACAGAAATTTCACTGAAACAATATGTGTAAAATAAAAATATTTTTCTTATATTTATCTATATCATTCTGTTAAAAATTCTGTTGGTAATTCGTTGAAGTTATAGAAAAACGTAATGGCCAGATGATTTATTATGAAATGATCTAGTTCATTATAATCCTCTAAATTGGATAAATTAAAATAACTCAAGAAAAATGCCTGAAAATTTGTTTTGACTTGAAGATGATATTTGCTTTTCCTATACTTTTGACTAATATTTCAGGTCAAGATAAACAATTGGTGTATACCTTGTAACAGAATAGTATATGTTTATTTTTATCATCAACATGAATACAGCAAAGTAATTGACCTAATCACAATAACCTTAGGAAATAATCACTCATCTAATTAAAGTCCAAAGCATTCATGTTGAGATTAGTTTTATACGATAGTTATACAAGGTGTAATCATTGAACTCTTGTACCGTTAAATAACAACACCAAAATAGCTATTTAGACTTATCGGTGAGACTATTATCTATGGACGACCTTTGAGCTAAGCTAGACTAAACTTGAGTGTCCACCTAATATCTATGACCAAATGAGGGTTCTAAACCTGTGTGAGGAATTAGAATTATGTTTTACAGTTGATAATTAACATTAAGAATTAGATTTTGGGTTTTCATCTGGAACTGACAACAGCTATAATGCCAAAACTATTTAACCAAATTGGATGAGTGAATTTCGCGCCAACCTTGTTGGTTCGTCTATAAGTCATAGTCTCGCCGACTTATTGACTATAGAACTAGCCTCTTTTGAACGATACTTTTATAACTAACCTTATTAATTGATTTGGTAAACAAACGAAGATTTTTATTTGGTCAATGCGTACACAACACAGTGTTTATCCAATGGGAAAATTTATTACCCTTTATTTTTAATTGGATTTCTTTTTAAACATTTTAACTAACACATTTTAGTTGTAGCCATTGTAATAAACAACATAATTTAGCTATTTATCAAGTGACATCAGTTTCTATTAATTCTCTTACTAATTGCTTATTAATTGTTTTTGTCTTCTTGTTTTAATAAATCAATAGTCAAGGGAATCAAAAAGATTCAACGCATTTTCAATCTATTCAAATTTCCAAAGATTTATCAAATAATAATAATAATTGTATAAATAAACTTAATCAACGTTCAAATCATATCAGATCAGCTCATGTTAATATATGTGATTCAAGACATTTACGACGATCATCTACATTACATGGACATTTGGATTTGAAACATTCAACCAATGCAAAAGATAATATACGTACAGTTATTTTAGAAAGATATTCTTATTCATCTAATGGGATTGATAAAAATGAACGTTCTTCATTTGGTTTATCAATTCGTACAGTGAAAAGTAAGTTATTATAAACAGTCTGCTATAATTTTATATAAATAAAAAAGAAAATATCTATGTACCTTGATTGACCTAATGAACATACTATTTAAAAAATAGTGTGAATCTTCATTAACTGAGATGGTTGGGCCACGTGTTACGTATTCCTGAACACCGACTACTACGACGCGCAATACTAACCGGTGTTGGGGATGGTTGGAAGAAAGTTAGGGGTGGCCAAATCAAAACATGGCATCAGTGCTTGAAGTCATTAACTTCTGGGCTGAGCCATGTTGGTAGATGCAAACTACTTGGTTGGTGTCCATGTGACTATCGTAACCAATAGTTGGAGACTCTTGGTGACATGGCTCAGAATCGATCACAATGGCGTCGGTGTATACACTCTCTGTCTACCCTTAATCAATGAGATTATAATCTCTTCATATCTTTCTTTCTAGGAACTAATTGTTTCTGTCTGTACTATATCCTTATATGCAATCTTTCTTTAATATAGTACTACTTCTATGAATCCGGTGTTCATCTTGTTGTGCTTATGCGGTATGGCAACTTGGACCGATGCATATATGTGCCTGGTCCTACGTTGTAGCTGACTGACTGACTGTTTAAAAATAAATTCCAAGCAAAATATATTCCGAATAATTAAAACCGTTTTAACTATCAAAATAATTGAATTAAATGATGGTTTGTTTGGTGCTTTCACAAAAGTTCATTTTGTTTTAAAATTTATTGATTATCACAAGACTAATTTTCAACGATTTTTTTTCAATCGGGTTTAGGGCGTGGTATTTCAGTGTCTTTTTTATTGGGATAGAACCCCATTTCATTTCATTGATGTATAATACAATTTAGGATAGTGACCTAACTCGATTCACCTTTTAATATGATTAGGATCTTTAAACAATTATTTATTATCATTTATGACTTTGTGAATACTTTTTTTAGTAAATGAGCCTTATGTTATTGTTCTCATTAAAATCGTTAAAATTAGTATCATATACTTTTTAATATTTAAATTGAAAAATTCTGTCAGTCTTAAAATCAAATTGTACGTTTCTTTATTTAGTTTACATTAAATGACAATAACATAATTATTTCTATTAATTAAATCGTTAACTTGATTATGTAAGATACTTTCAGTGTTCATTTACTGTTAATATATGTTCTAAAGATGTTATATTCAAACTATTGAATACTTAATAATACCAAATATAACCTAACATAAACATTCACTTTTAATGACATCTGACAGCCATTGATAAATTTACAAACAAACGATGACCTGAGGAATTCTTCAATTGATCATTGTCAAGATAAATGTTTAAAGAAAATACGCTTAAAAAGTACTGACTTATCTTTTTTGATACTAAGTAAACTAAACCCTTCAAAGTGTGACTCGTACGTCAATTATTAAAGTGTATAGATATTCATTTTCAGTAAAAAGGTGAGACTATAATTTATGAACGAACTTTAGGATAACAAGTCTTAGATTTTGTCGCGAAATTCACCAACCTATTTGGCCAAATAGCATCTTGGCATTTTAGCTGATGTAAGTTCGTGATGAAAAACCGTAAATCTAATTCCTAACCCTAACAATCAACTGTGAATCATGATCCTTATTCTTCAAACTGCTTTATAACTCCTAGTAAGTAGGTAGACATTCTCAAGGTCACTTTGGAGTCACTCACAGATCGTCCATAAATTATGGTCTTGCCCAGAAAAATAATCCATTAGATTGGAAAAACAGTAGTATCTGATGCTTTTGGATTTTAAACGTTTACTTACTGATAATAATAATCTTTATTGTTGTTTTAATCGAAGAGTGACATCTGTATACGTAACCTAAAAGAATTACCTGAAAATTGAACAGACGGTTCACAAAGCCTCTTTAATAGCAGATTGAGTAAAATAAATATTTTAAAAACTGTTTGGTTCCTGTGATTAACGACATTTTTTGCTACCATATTAATTCATGTTACATACAAAATCAATATTCATATTAACCAAGGCTATTCAGAATTGTTTAGCTAAATAAATCATTTGAGAAATCGTATTACATACGAGAATGAAAGTGAAAGAAAACAAAAGTCTAATGTAGTGTAAATTTAATTACCTCCTAACTCTGATTTTCATAATATAAAGACTGGTGAACACAAAGCATCATGACCATTAAGATCAAACAAGTTAAGCTGAAGGAAATAGACATAAATTACTTTAAGATTACAACTGGAATAATCATACACATAGAGAAATCGTGAATTATATTCACTTTTTTTACAGGTTTCATTTATTCCATAAATATATCAGTTATACTTACATCCCTATTACTCGATCACTAATTTTTTGACAGGTTGTTAACCTTGACTGCGTATTTAAATGAATACATTTGAATATTTTATCTAATGTATGCATGTATTTAGTAGAATGGCTACATGAACAGGAATTTTTTGAACTGAGAATGTTACTGGCGAAATTTTGTTTGATTTTTTATCTGTTGTGTATCATACTAAACAGTACTTCAAAATACATACATTGTTTAGATTAATAGATATGACAATAATGTAAATAAACATCATGAAGTCAGTTATAAAATGGATTGAACTAAGCTTCTAAAGTCGCTGCACTCATTGCTTCTGTGGCTTTATTCTCTCTATCGAACCATTCTTAGTACATATGTTTATTAATAATTAAAGTCCGAACACCACAGAATTTCTATCTTAAGACTGTTTGGCAACATGTTACAATGTGTTTTACAATGATTTGTAAAATGTAATACATGTTAATTAAGTTTCATAACAGTAACCTACCACTAAAATATGCTCAAACGTCTACAATCTTCAGGTACATTTTACATCATAAAAGAATTAATATAAAATTATTCTTTAAATACTGTTACATCAGTCACTAATGTGTATTCTGAACTATCTTGAATATAGCGACTGTTATGTCACTAATTATTTTAAGTTGGACGATCTTATCACTAAATGACTCAAAGAATATTTTTCATGATTTATTTCGCTCAAATATCCAATTAACATTGCGAAGTCTGGCCTACACACCGTTTTTTTAAAAAGGGAACTCATGTCTGAGTTTAAAAAACTTTAGTCTTACCAAATTCCTCTAGCATGAGGTACATATAATGTACTGAATAAGAGACTGTGAGATATGTAGATATTCTTAAGCTTAAGAGAATATAATAACTATCATTAAATTTCCTCTTCAGATCATATTTAACAGTTAAGATAAAATCCATTTTAGATTTATGAGAGGCTGAAACTTAAGTATGGAAAATGAAAGCAATTATGAAAATAAGCAAACAAACTTCAATTGTCTAGGCAAATAATTTAATATTTATTTAAATATAATTAGGTCAGACTATCAACATGTTGTTACTAACTACCAGATGCTGGTTATCATGTTTTTATGCATTACCCAATCATTATTTACTTTAATTCATAAAGTTTCTTTAATTTATATTTGAATACTTTTAGAATACATAACTGCCGTGAACAATAAACCATAGTACATATTGTGTTTCTATATCTCTTTAACACAAAATCGTTTTCAATACAAATAAAAAGAACTTGTTTTATTCTGTTTTATTTATTCGATCAACTGTGTTCTACTAGACCGCCCATATCTGTACATAAATTCTTTCTTTTGAAATTTCAACAATCTTAAAATTAGATAGTTATAATTAGTGATTCTTCTGTACGCTTACAACTTATAAGACATAAAATAATTACTCCATACTAACAATGAACAGAAATTTAGTACTTTTGATATCTTTTATGAGCCTAAACTATCTGCTTAAAACCATGTTTCTAAATCCGAAATAAAATCTTAATCCTTTCAAAGTATAAATTTATTGTTCTGCCACTTACCTTCATACTAAACAACTCACATAAAGAGCACTTGATCAGTGACTTACAAACCAATCATAAGTTAATGGCTGTTTTACAATACTTTTCTAACGTTCTCAATGAACTGCTTGACTCAACAGACTCGATTACATTACGACCGGATATAGAACAGTATTACACTGTTAAATATTCAAATGTTATCTATCTAAACTGATCCCACACCACGCTTAATTATACTGGATAAATATCGTAGTAGTAAGTATCAACCATTATTGATCAAATTACCGATTTTCAAATCAAAGATCTGTGAACAAAGTTGAACAAAACCTGTGCTTTTACAATTAGTTATTTAAGAAGCTTTCATATTTCAGGAACAGTTACCTGTTGATTGTATAACGCTGATGAAGCCTAAACTATCTCATACATGCCCAGTCCAACTTAGTTGTAACAGAAATTCCAAGGTTGAGCTAAGTGGCTACCAAGACGAACAGCGGTCAACGAAGCATTCTTTCTGAATACATATCAATTAGGAAATTCACTGAAGTAGGCATGATACCATTAGGTATGTAGTCTGGAAGCCATTGGTTCAAATGCTACTTTTGTGTCATTTTCAACGTTGCTGGCCAGTAAATATACTAGAACATAAAATAAATTATTTTAAATACTGAACCGAAATTATGGTCAAAACACGATTTAATTCATATCCCAAAGTGTTACATCATAGTAAATATGTTTACGAAACGACTACTTATCAGTTCTAACTTGATTATTTAACTAAAATAAGGAGAATAATGGAGAATAGCGGAAATAAATTATTATCACACTTGAAGACATAAAAAAATTACTTTATGTTTCCATCTGTTGAACAAGTGTTTTGTTCTTAACAAAACCAGTTGTTTACACTTTTTTACACTTCCTCAATTTGAAAATGTTATATTTTAAGTCGAAAGCAAAATTAAAGAGTATCAATACTAACCGTGTTTTGAACTTGTTCTTTACAGATTCATCAGTGATAGCTGAATTTACACCGACAACAAATAAGCCAAGTTTACAAACTGTTAAACGTGTTGTACCAGATAGTCCAGCTGAAAAAGCTGGTGTTAAAGTTGGCGATTTCGTCTTGAAAGTAAGTTTTATCCTATGACGAATGTAAAAATCATCAAATCAATAGTCACGTTCTTTTTAAAAAGCAAAATGGGATACTTAACACTTTTTACTTGTCGTAACATTGATCATAAGTTCTTATTTTTCATCCTATCCTCAGAATTATACTGTCCTTTTGAGTGATTATATCTGAATGTAAAATTGTGACGGCATTTGTTAGTATTTAGCCACATAACAAAACAATTGTCTGTGTAGGTCTACACTGTATGATGTAGCATCTCCCTAATTACTCCTTACTACAAGATTGCTCGATATGTTCATATTGTACAGTTCCTTTTCAAGATTGAATCTTCATGTTAGATAAGATTGGCTGATATGAAAATGTTTCATATTGTGCTATATGAGATGGATGAAAACTTAATTAGATTGACAAAAAGAAAAAGATTCAAAATGAAGAAAACATTTACTCAGCATAAAGCTAAAACGAACAAATTAGTTTGACTGAAAACATGAGAATTTACTTTTATTCTTGAGAAATCAAAGAAATTAGATAATTAATGATAAGCATTTAACTATTGTAAAAAGCGTAGTTTTGTTGTCAGCTGACTAGACAATAGAATTTTCACTGTTATAAGAAACTTCTAGATATTTTATATTTTCTAGGAAATTAATGACAGAGACATACATTTTCTGAAACAATGATCAGCAGATTGATATGAGGAATGTTAAATGCAAACAAATATGGGAACATAATTTAAAAAGACAATTTATTCAATATTTGTCACAAAGATTTTAATAATGTGAGATATATGGCGTAAACTAAATTTATTATTAAAAGTCATAGAATTTTAGAGTGCTGAATTGTTATCATAGGACTCGTCATAATAGTCATCAGTTTTGCAGTCACACAGTTGTCTTTAATTAGCAGTGTAAAACGAAAATAAGTACACTAAGAAGTTGGTAGCTATAACGTTATGAGCGTTTTGAAATGAAATGACTGTTGCATAGAACGCGCAGTTTTGAACGGATGTTTTTCCCTGGCTGGAGGACAAGAACGTCGTGGTTGACTATTAACTGAGTAGCAAAGGTTTGGTCCAGTACTTTAACAACGTCGTTATTATCATCAATAACTAGAGAGAAGCAAACGAAAACAGAGACGAAGGAAAAACAAAAGTGTTTATGATATCAGATGGGTTTTGTGGATATTATAGTATTTTCAATGTCTGTTGTTATATACTTGCCTGATCGTATTGTGATCTACTGATATAGACAGATTTCATTTAAACTGATAAACTAGTCAATGTACGTCCTTACAATGCCAAAATTAATGATATAATGAACATAAGCTTTCCGATGAACCAGGAATAGCATAACGACCAACGGATAGCGCACCATCATGAAGGAATATTCATTAGATTTATTTATTAACAACAGTGATCAAATATTTAGAGTCCCTATAATCCCACTGGTGTATTGAGATGTGGTCACTAGTGTAAGCAATTTTAAATCAACGTTCGAAGACAGTTAATTACCGGCATATATTACAAATGGTGGCAGTAATTTTGCTGCATGGATAGATTGAGGTAAAATATTCTGGATTATCGGAAACTCACTTATAAGGGAATTCATATAAATAGTAGATGCACACTGATATTTTCAACTTAGATACAGAGGTAAGAGTGCCCAAACTGTATATATATATATATGCAGATACATCCAGCTGACGAGTCCCAAATAGGACGAGACGCGCGTCCTGGATTCCACTGCTAGCCACCATCCATCTTTGCTCATTATGAGTAAAATACTTCCATGACCATTATGAACTAGTTTTCAACTATGTTTATGCATCTTCATTAGACATATCTATGGCAGTTTATCTTTTTTGTATCTTTATGTTATCTCGCTATGCTATCCTTCTCGAATTCCTATATTGATTGAGTAACTGATATACACCGTAAATTGAGAGATTAATAAACAAATATTTACGAATAAATAAATGGATTATGGAGATAATTTCAATGTTAAAAGACATTTCAATATCAACTTGTGTTTACTAAAAAAATCAGTGAAAACCAATGAACATTGAATATTCGTCATAATTTTGTGCAGATCAACAGTACTTCTTGATAACATCAAAGTTGTGATATATATTACAAGCATCACTGTGGGTGTATGCTAAGGAAGAGTCTTTAACCAGTAACACAGTTTTTTAAGAACACGCTGGATATGATATCAGTCTGTGATGGAAGCTCTTTCTTCGATGTATTACACTTATTTGAGAAGCATTTCACTCTTCTACCTTCAAAGACATAAACAATTTTGAAAATAATTCGTTTCTTCTACATATGTTTACATTGAAGTGTTATAGGATTTAGCGAAATGTTCAATTACAGAATATCCAAAACTATGGAAATTTGTTAGTTCATCTTTTTCTATTTATATCGTCTCTTAAATAATATAACCCAGGTTCTATTATAAAGTTATTAAAAGGGAAAATTTACTTATCTACTGAATAAAACATTGAAAACATATAACCTAGACAAAATAAAACAAGCAGATTTCAGCTTAGATAATAGTAGTTTATCAACCATTATCATAAATTTTAGTCTTATAATTGAATGAATAAATATTGCCTCAAGATGAATACTATAGAGTTCAAATAAGAATTTGTGGCCCGTGATTTTAATAAAACTATGATTGACATGAACACTGATTAATGTTATTAAACTATGATCTAGTTACACTGAAGAATGATTGAATTTGAAAAATGTATAATTGAATAATATTATTATCATTGAGTAACTTCATGGTCTCAAATTAAATTTAAAATATGTTGATATGTATCCTTCGAAGTTACAAAATATAACTTAATACCTGATCAGTGCTATCTGATTTTTCATAATTTCCTCAGAAAATACCAACTCATCTTTAAAGTCACTAATAAATAACAGTCAACTCAACTATAAAATAAATTCGAATTTTATTAACCCTTTTATTAAACTAATTATGTACTGATCTTTTTTTGCAATTAGTATTGTTTATAACAGGTATAATATGTAGCATATTAACAAGTGAAAAGTAACTGTTAAATAAAATTGACAGATCCATTAAGTAACGAATACAGAAAGATTAAAAAATAGTATGCTGTTAATAGTAATTACGTCTATGAACACGTTTGAGAAATATGACACATACATGAACATAAAATTTATAATAAACGAAAGATTTGGTTACAAATATAATCAAGACTGGAACAAAATAGATTACCCATTGGATGAAAATCTAATTCTATTATGAAGTGACTGAACTAATCAAATATCAGCCAAAGTGGTTGATGTTGCTTAGTATTATAATTTATTCAATTATCTTCGAAATACTTATCTGCAATTGAATTACTTTAACTATTACATAGTCACAGTCCAATGTTCGGTCATTGTAATTTTTTATGTCGAATTTTTAAAATCGAACAGAAACAGGTTAACGATTAACAACCTTAAAAGTACTTTTTCAATCTCTATTCTCAATTAATATCATCTTCCTTAGGATTAATAGTTCTATTTCAAGAAAAACATTTGTGTGCTTAAACAATGCACTTGAAAAGATAACGTTTTTGGTGTCAGTACGTCAATCTGTTAAAAAAAAAGTGAAAAGAAACACCCATTGATTTAAGGAGACGACATCACTTTATATTAGTCACTTTTGTTCCTAACCATTAATAATTCCCAGTGAGTAAATCGAAAAGGAGAGGCAATATTTCTCTAATGATTAAACTTGTCTATGAAACCTTATTTAAGATAATTAAAATTAATTAAACTAACATAAATAACTAAGTTCAAAATAATTAATCCTCTCCCTAATAAGTACCAAAATATAAAATAATGAATTCTAAATAAAATATTTTCATAATTGGATGAAAAAATTACCCATAAAAAAATATAAGTTGCTATAATTATTTAGTCAGGTGAAAAACTACATTGAGTAAGATTCCCTAGACACATTGCATTCACATGTTACTATGTAAATAATAATAGTAATGTGGATTACTGTCTAAATGATTTCCATTTCAACCTTAAATACATCACTCATCTATGTTAGATTGTTTAAATTTCTATTCATACAAAAACATTAAACGTTTTATGACTTATGACTCAGTAATCAGAGATAATGGGCGTAAATGTTACCATGGTTTTCACAATAAATTGAACAGGTTCCCAAATCTTGTTTTTTTTTCTACATCAAATCACTTGTAAAATCTTTTCAATTTCTTAATAAATCAATCATGTAATTTTATTATTTTAAAAAAAAAAATGAATGAATCAAATGTTTAAGTAGTTTTCTTGGTTTTACAGTTAAATGATACCAGGCTTTTGTTCAATATTTTGTGCGTAGAGAGTAATAAACATTTTGTAGACGAATGAAATATAAGATTTAAATATTGAATGAACCAATATAACACTTAAGTGAATTATTATTTATGAGTTACTACAGTATATAGTGAGCCCATTTCATTAATTTACGAATAAAATAAATGAAGACATAAAATACTCATAGAGTATTATTGTTTTGATTCAAATATACTAAGTCGATTCCCAAAAACGATTAAGCCTCATTTGTCAGAATCCATATGATCCAATTAAATGATTCTATAGTAAGGAAAAAAATTAATAGTTCAGTTAATATATTTTTTTACTTATTACAATCTATAAACTCGTGAAAAATGTACAACTTATCAATAACTGGGTAAAAATAATTTACTTCATCGACTAGCTGTCGCTGCACAACTCACTGAATAACTGTTTCCGCCTACTTTAAGTTTATTTTAGCAGTGTTTACTCACAACCTTGACAGTGATTAAAACCATAATATTCAGACCTTGCGATAAATGTGTGTCCTTTACACCACACAGTTTGATACTCTTAAGTTACAACTAAAATCAATTTGCTATGATAACTGTTGTTAAAAAGAACAATATCCACAAATATTCCATCTTATACATAACGTTCTTGGTCTAAATAATATTATTCACCTCCTCAATTAAGAATTTAGTATATTTATCAATTAAAATTCATCTGAAGATCAGTATAATTTAATCATTCGAAATTCCGGTTATCGGTTATAACATACCGGTATAAGCATATCTGTAGAACATTTATAAAAAAAGCACTATTTATTATAATAAATAATACTTTATCTTCTGCAATCTAATTACATTAGATTAATGGTGCTGATGTTACAAAAGCTTCTTTGAATCAAGTAGTTGATTTATTATCCAGTTCATCTGGAGATAAAGTTTCATTAACATTACTTTCACCAAAATGTATAACACCTTCTGTATTGATCAATAACAGTGATAGTATTCATCGTACTGATGATGAAAATGATGGAGATGGTTGTGTTGAGCATTATGTGATTACAAGAAAATCCAGCGATGGCAATTCAATAAATTTAATAAATAAGATGATTTTACCAACACAATCTGTTAAATGTAATCAAACAGTGAGAAGTACAAAGCAAGCTAGACATTCAACCATTTCACCGATTTCATCTGAGCGAAGTTCTGACAGAACATATAAATCTTCACTGAATGAAAATTCTTGTTTAACAGGTAAGAAAAAATTATATGGATCCATAATATTTATATTTGCTTTTTCAAATCTTCAATATAGGGAGACATCCAGCCGTTAGTAGGTGACAATTTAGCGTGACATTTTGACATTGAGGGGGGGGGTGTAGTGAAGTGCTCGCTCACGAGAATGGGAAAGAGCTAAGTAGGGAAAAAACGTAGGCCAATAACACATTAAACACAAAGAATATATCAATATTTAGTAATAAATCTCATTGTTAAAAATTACTTTTGTGTACGTGTGGTTTCAAAACATTCTGAAAATAAGCGGTGAAACTCTAGATGTGTTATAATACAGTTAAATTAAGTAAAAACTTCCATCTTCTAGGGTAGTATAAAGCCACTTGGTTACTTTTGTTGTTTTTAGCTTGAACGGATGACTATTCAAACATGGTGTGAGTATACATATACATGCGCTGTTATTATTCCATAAGATCGAAGTCAAGCCCGCTAAACAAAATTTGTGAAGATAACAAGAAAAACTCAGTAAAACGTATAGAGATATATTTAAGCTAACACTGAATAAACAAAACAATTTATGGTTTATGAAGAAAATACAACGAGAATCTCATGATTTACTTCATTTATTGCTGTGATTAATGCATGGGGAAATTTCGCTACTCCATTTATTCATTTGAAATTACTCAGAACAGAACTTTACCGGCGAACAGTAATAGCTAATATTTTCCTATTCTTTAGTTCAACAACTGACGAAAATAACCTTATGTTTACCATAAGAAATTTCATTGTTTATGGAGATCCAACGCTATTGTAATGAACAGTACACAGGTGGGGGGAATCGAATATATTAAGTAGCAAATTACAGAACTAATTAGTAAAATCTAACAACCGTATATCAAATGCCCAATTTGCAAAATGTCCATCATTTGTCTCACATCACTCAGACTTCCTTTGTCCTTGCATTTTCACACAAATTGCATGCTGTCTTCATTCTTTGCTGTTCGGTCTTCTCATCTCTCTGCTGCCAGACATTCTGTTCATGACTCACGTCATATACTACTTATATCTACATAAGTAGCACACACCACACAATCACCAACTATTAGATGGATACATACACAGTTTTGAGAGTTTTATCTTGTAATTCAGATACAATTGACCAAGATAACACTCCGAAGGTGTACTTTCATAGTTCATGCATGAATCCAAATTTCAATTTTAATTATAACTGATATTTAAATAAAGGCAAACAAATGAATTAATGTTTAATAAACAGAAACAATTTATTTATTAGTCTAACATCATCAATGACTTATCTGCATTTGTTAAACTACAAAGAATTACTTAGCTCCAAATAATTGAAAGCAAAAATGTTTTCTATGCGTTTACCGTTCTCCCTTAGCATGCGTTATTAATCATCTAATTTACCTTTAGAACCTTAGTAACCTTGACGGGTTGAAAATTGAAGTTTTCTAAATAAAATTCTTAAAAGCACGTCTAGTTTTACCCCTACGCTAGCCAGTACGTTTGTCGGATTTTTAAAAAATATTTGAATTGCTCAATAGTTCGAACTTTTTTATTACAACTGTAAAATATGGCAATTGATCAGAAATATCTTCTAGGTACTTCTCACATACGGCTCAATCATCAGGTAATTAATCCTGAGATTTATCATAACCTACTACGTAAAGCTGCCCAAACAATAGGTTGAACTTGAAAATTAAGTTACTTAAGTGACTGGAACATACGTCATTGATGCACACTCATCAAAGTAGTATATTGATAACAGTTTAGCAATGACTGGATCAAAACACGATACTGGTTAGCACAGGTATGTCGAAAAGTGAAGACTCCCTCATTTAAGTCATGCGATAACCGAAGACCCCAAAACCAGTAACACTTAATTACATACATTTGTTATTCTCCTCGCTTGATATTTTGAACACATCATCATCTATAGTCTTTCCACCCGAATCTTCGGAATTTTCCACTATGATAGACAGTATCACCTAACATTTTTCACCTTACACAGCAGTATTTACTTTGTATGTGCTGCAGTAACCTTTTATAATAAAAGTTTGTGCTGGGAACCTAACTGTTTATTACTGATTGGCCAATCATGCAGAACTTTCAGATTTCTGACTGGCTGAAGAAAACAAATAATGTCGATCTTTATGTTATTTTTATGATTATTCTTATTTGATATATGTAAATGCTTTCTAATAGATGAGGGTGTATATTGTCAGTCACTTTGTACCAGTTCGAACGTATCCGCACGTAGTTCTTCAAGTAGCCGACTTATTACAAATTCAAATCTAATACAACAATCTTATATACAAAATAACAAGCAACCATCTGATGCATCAACTCATAGAGTACGATTTCAAGGATTGCCACGATCACAAACAACAAATGGTATTTCTGATGTACGTAAACTTTTATTCTAAAATATCTTACGACATTGTATTACTTTGTAATGAATTGTATATTGATATTCTCTTTCAAAATAAGTTGATAAACATATCAGTGTTCTTAAACGCACACATGCATAAAAACAGATATGCATTCAATATGGGTGTAACCCATCATAATTCATAGGATGATTTTTTGTTAAAGAAAAGAATAAGAAAAAACTTTTTCCTTTGATAAGCTGAAATACAATCAAAGGATAACTTCAATATTACATTTAAGATAGCATAACCTCAAATTGGAAACGTCTAGGCTTTCTATTTTGAAGAAACTTTGCAAAAATAAAATACCACCCAGCCTTCCCTGGATTTTACTTATTTTCCAGTTGGTCAGTCAATGATAAAGACCAGGATCAAAATTGTTGGCTTATTTTTGATGAAAATTATATAAAAGCGTTTGACGATTTTCTCTCATTACAATGAACTTACATACTACATCATATACACTGTATTCTTTAGTGTATAGATAGCTCAGTATTAAAAATTATTCAATAATTGAACACTCAGCTAACTTCTAATGTTCTATATCATAGTACTTTAACCAATACCCAATACCATTTGATAAGAAACGGTGAGTGATTGCACAATCTAAGTGGTATTTCGCAAAAAAAATCAAGTGGTAAAACATTAGATTATTACTGTCAGTTAGTTCTTAATGCTGACAATAAACTTGAATTTTCTGATATCATTTCGTACCATTTGCGCTGTTTGATTCAGTATACTCAATAATGTAAACTTAAATACTGTTATGTCCAGTATACTACAGGGAGCAATCTTTGTTAGAACACTTAGCATATAGAATAGAAGTTCACTTGAATCTTCCCTCTTTGACACTGACATTTTATCATTCTTAAACTCTTCATATATCCTAAATTTTCTATGAGGCCGCTCCATTGAAGTATTTTAACTTCACAGATCGTGTGATCTAAAGTAAATAGAGACGTATTTATTATGTTTATTGTAGCCCTATTTTTAAATTATACTTATGTAAAATCATGCTTATATCTAAGTTATAATGAATTAATTACAGCCAGTTAGAGAAATCGACTAATGAAGCAGTAAATTATCAGCGGATAAAATACAACTTATTTGTCTTTGAAGATCAAAAATGTTGAATATCACAGTGAATCAGTAGAACTTTAAGATGTTATGCAAAATCATGGCCATAGATGGAGTAGATAATTGATTTTTTAAATATATATATCACTATTATATTATTATACCACATAACTTTACTACCATAAACCATGTAGCAAGGAAAAATGTTATAACTAAGATAAATCATTCCAAAGTATGGTTATCTACAGACCAGCGCTTAATCAAATCCCTAGTGTCGTCAGCTACAAAATTCTGCAAGTTGTTTTTCTTGTTTAGTTTAAAATGATTACCTTCATCAAATACTAATGTTTTTTGTCGAATTAACTAGAAAACACGAATGTGTATATATTAGCAACAAACCTTTGGAGTAAAACTTTTCTTTATCTTCAAATTCACGACCCGATGAACTGAAAATGTACCACTCACAGTAAATATGCACTTTATCTATAAAAAAAAGAGTGGAAAGCATTCTACAACTCTGAACAGAAACATCAGTTTCCCAAGTAAAGAGGATATGTCTCAAATAGTTCAAAATTTAAAGTTCAGAAAATAATTCCAAGTGACCTCAGCCACCTACCATCAAGTAAAATATTGAACACTTAAGATATTTGTTTTCTTTCCACCAATTTCCCTTAGATTTGCCACGATAAATCTGGAAATTCCATGATAAATTCATTATACTTTCCTCGTCATCCAAGATTTCAACGTGTTGGTTCAAATGAATCTCAGAACTCTTCACATTCTCATAATAATTATACACAAACGCCTAGGCAACAAAATACTGATTTACATATAGTTGATGAAAGATTACATAAACACTTTAGTAGTGATTATCCAGCCAGTGTAACACGTGTAATTTCATCAAAGCAATCACCTTTACTACGTTCATATTTTACACCGGAACAACAGAACTTATCCATTATAACAGGTAAACCATCACATCTTATTAGACGACCGATATCATTGAACCCAGAAACAAGAAAGAAAAGTACCACTTATCTATCGGATAATGAATCACCATCCACGATAAAAACATCATCAACAACAACAACAACCACAGAAACAACAAATAATACAATTACAAGAACATCGATCAGAAATGAATCAACATTATCAATTAGAGGAAGTTCTCCAACGAATTCCGAATTTTTACTGCCACCACCTGCTGAATTTTCCAATTAATTTGATGCAAATATCTTTTTGTCAGCTTTTTTTACATCCTGTTTAAAATATCTGTCAAATTTATAACACTTAATTAATATATAGGCACATATCAACATATTATCTTATGTAAGTCATTAACACTGTTGTTATTGTTATTGTTAATATTACCATTGTAGTCAATGTAGTCTTTACGAATAGTATCCATTAAAGAATTATTGTACAGCTGTGATAAAATTTGAGTTTATTTAATTCTTCACAATAACTTTATTTATTAGATACCATTAGTTGATTGTTTATTAAATTTAAAAAATGGATTGACCTAAATAGAGCTTTTTTTAAAATTTGAAACAAATTGACAAAAACAAAATTTAAATTTGTGAATTAGTAAAATGTAGATCATAAGATTAAACATTAAATAAAGTGAATAAAATTGTTTCGCTAAAACACAATCAGTTCCTTTTATTATTGTTTTTTTTTGTTTTTGTTTTTCATTGATTTTTAATGAAAATTAATTAACATTTTTCACTTTCTTCAAAATTTTCCACTGCTTATTTAGATCAAATAGAGTCATTATCATTTGTGATAATCTGACTAGAATATATACACTTAGTGTATTATTTCTGCATATAATGTCATGATTATTTACTCGATTATTCAAGATTTGAGCTAAGTATTACCGCATTGTTAGTTATAACTTTATTTGTCCATTTCCTATACTCCATTGTTTTGATTCTACTGACCTTTTCTGACATTCTATCGATTTATATGTTTATCTTTTTTTTCTTCCTTTCAAATATTATCCATTTTAAGCACATTATTTCAGTGTAACATCTCTGCTTTTAAAATGTGAACGAGCAAGCATGTGTTTCGCTTTTCCCAGCCAGATAATGACTTATTTATGCTCAACTTTTCCTTGTACGATTTATTTGTTTGTATAAAAGCACAGTTTTTAATAACACGTATTGTGTATTATTTTTCAACAAGAATCATTGCCTAGTTTCTTTTGAATTATTTCTTCAATATATTTCGCTTTTAATTCCAAAATAAATATACTGCTTATGGTAAATACCTTAAAAGTTCTTCTTTGATTTTGCTTAAAACAATTAGAAGGGGAAAATTGAAGTAAAACGTTTAATTATAAATAATAGTTTACAATGTATATGAGTCATTTATATCCTAAACAGTGTATAAGTGGAAAAGGTAACGTCATAGAATCCATTTAATTATGTTATTTAATTTAAAATTCCTTTATATGAATAAAACTTACTGAATGTCAACTATTTTACAGGTATTTCAAACGCCCATATATATATATATATATATATATATATATATATATATATATATCATCGGTTTATAGTCAATAGAGTTACGCCCTAACATACTTTTTTACTCCTAGGCAACATACTCGATCAATATATTTTCATATGAGCATATACATCCATGGAAAGTAAATCAGTTTCATAACAAAACTCTCCTAGATCTAAAGTTACTTCCGCCCAAATTATAAAAAATCTTGATTTCGCCACTTCTTATAATAAATTTATTATGAACAGAGTTCCGAATCTGATCAGATTGTTGTAAAAAGTGGTTGATTTTTTTCTAAAAATGTAACACTTCAGTGATCTAACAATTTGGCATACTTCATTTCCAAGTGTGTGTATGTGTACATTTGTATGTATATGTTCACAATCTACGAATCATGTTACTATTAAACTTATGTAATAGAGTCGTTTAAAAACACGATTTTTGATTAGATGAAAATATCAGGTGATTTGAGCTAGAATGTTTGTTGTACGTAATGGACAATTTTAATGTGGTGTGTTTGTAGTTTTGGTTTAATCTATATATATAATACATTATTAACTGAATTCAAACGAACTAATATTTGGAAAACCATTGAGCCCAATAATTCAGCTTTTTTTTTTCTAGAAGTTAAACTTTTCAATAATCCTCATGCTCACAGTCCATCAAAGATTGGAACCATAGCCATTATAACTCTTGACCTACAAGTTAATATTCATACTAATCTGTGGCAATTGTTATTCGCTACAGTCTCCAAAATTAGCTTTTTACATATTTTTTTGTGTGTTTCATATATATTTTATCATAATGAATGACTTGAAATTTATTAAATAGTGATTAATTATGAAAATTCGGTGAAATAGATATTTGGTAATTGTTTGAAGGTTTTATTACTAATGCATATTCAGAAAAGCAAGGAGGTATGGAATAGATCTTGTAGAACATTCAACTTTTTGAACACTAAATAAAGCGAGAACACGAGAACATGAATTATTTCCATTTCAAAATTTCTCATCAGTTGCAAATGACCTTAATTTACATTAGTAATATTACTATAAAACTGTTTTATTACATACCGTAATCAATGAAGTTTGTGCTTGAACCAACGTAAGAAAAACAAGACAAAAAAACATATTTAACATAACAATTAAAATCGATTATTATTATTAATATGTTGAAGGTGAAGTCATAAAAGAAAGGGGATGAAGTTACTAATGATAAAGAAACCAGGAATGAAAACAAATTAATAAAAATTGAGACACGTAGTTGACGTGAAATTAAAGTTAACGCCGTGAGTGAATGCCAGTTGAACTTTTCACTTTAAGTGATAAAACATAATAAAAATATAACGCAATTGACAAACGTTAAAATACTATACCTTTTTTCTGTATACAAAGGTCAGGTCAAAGGTGGTTGATGGCAGTGCTTTCTGCACAGCCAAGTGAAAGCGTCTATGAATTTATAAACACTGTTTGGCAGTTTTATCCCTCTTTGTTATTTTGTAGAAAACTACCAACTGACATCTGAAATCGTTTCAGGATACTCAATAAACCACTGACTTCATTTATTTTGAGTAGCTATGGGTGAACTGTATATCGGATATAACATATCAGTGTCTGACAATTCTAGCTGACGGTCTGACATTTATCGAAACGGCATAAATATATAAACGGTTTATCTTTACCAAAACTTAACCACAGTCCATTTCCTTCCTTTATTTTACTCAATTTTCTAATTTCATTTCTGGTAGTGAAAAATGAAAGGGAAAATTGGTCAATTTAAGTACAACTGTCAACTAGATTTATCTGCATAACAGTGGAATAGATTACATAAATAAGTGAAAAGTACTAATTGGTAGTGTGGTGACAGGTGTACTACTTGTGATAGGAATTAAAAAGCCTTGAATCAATGTTACATAATGGTAAACAGATCAATGATTAGAAAGACATAGACACTGAAATAGCATTCATAAAAATTATCAGATTACTTAATAAGAAGTGTTTAGATAATTGGACCGTGAAACGTATATTTGAGAGAAAGTAAAACAAAACAGTAGGAGGGGTGGATAAAAATAAAAGAAGAGAGGAAAATAATAATAAATAAAATTTATTAAGGCCAAGGGAGAGATAATGGTGTTACAAATTTCTCATGAACACAAAGACTTGGATTGTTGGCTGAATTCCTATAGCTTCTGCTATGTGTAAGAGACATGATCGAACACTATAAGGAAAACCAGTAGAAATGCAATAAATAACTTTAAATGACTTATTTCTGTCTACTACATGACCGCTATCGATTCTGCGTGATAGAACTGAACTGTATATTGTTTGGACAGTACCTTTCCCTAACCACAAAGGGACGTGTTCATTAGGTCTTTGGTAGTGCGCCGAATATAGCTTTCTCCACAGAAGCAGCTGAATTCGTAGATACATATAGAAGTGGCATAACTAGGTAACTTATCCTTTAGCTGGAGAACAAACTCAAGTCGGGTCGAGTACGATAGACAGAGGTTGGCTGCATTAACCGTTCTCTTCACTGCTCTAGTCAGTATATCACGTAGTACATCATCAGCTACATCTCTATTGAATCACACCTTCAGGAAGAGGGGCTTCTTACTAGCCGTTGATGTCACTATTCTCTTGTTTGTTACACGCACGCGTCTCTTCAGGAAACCCTGTGGATAACCCATTTCAATCAACATATAATGTATGAGCTCTAATTCTTTGTTAATTATATCGACTGTGCATATATTAATAGCTCTATTTGCCAGATATATGACTAAGTTTCGCTTATAATGAAGAGTACAAAGCTCATAAAATGTGTGTATTGGCTTGATGAAGAACTTCTTCTATACACACTTCTACTGATAGAACCTTTTCCTTTTCTATTTAACAAAACGTCAAGGAAATGTAGTTTATTATCTAGGTCCTCTCCATATGTACATTTAATTGCTGGATGTTTGTTGTTAAATAGTTCTAACAGTTCTTCTTTTCCAATGTTTTGATCAACAATAATGATAGTATCATCAACGTAATGACAGTAGAAGTCAAACTTATCAGTCACATCTTCGAGAGGTCCGTTTTCTAGGATAGGACCTGGAGGCGAGCCCATCGTTATACCATCAAATTGTCTATGATATGTGTTATTGAAGACAAAATGGGCATTCATCATACATTTCAGAAGTAATTTTTTGAAACTAAATTCGGGAATTCCAATATTGATTTGTTTTTCGAGTAGTTATGTGCCAACAACAGAAATTAAAGATTTTCAGTAATTTATTGTAATTCACTCATTAGTAGTTTCAAATTTACTTTGATAATATATCAGATGACATTTCATCACAACGTCCTGAAACAATTTTACTTTTATATCCAACGAGTAAGAAGTTACTGGATAATTTATGCTGGTATTACATATACTTATGCCTGTTACTAGTCGTGAGGGAGCATATACCGGTCACTAATATATATATATATATATATATATATATATATATATATATATATATATATATATATATATACCTATTAACAGAACTTACCGAATTTATCATAAGTTCTTGCGTAAACTTCCGGTGACCGATTTCAACTTATTTATTAAACAAACTTTGATTTCTTAAACTACTTTGTTTAACTATATTTTCAAATTATTTTCTTATAACTGGACACTATTTTTATTTATAACTTTCGTTTACCAAACATTAAAAACTGTTC